GAGACCCTGTCTCTAAATAAAATACCAAGTAGGGCTGGGGACGGGGCTCAGCGGTGGAGCGCCCCTGGGTCCAATCCCTGGCACCAAAACAACAAACATGCAAACCAAGTATTCCTCACTGGGAAGCCTGCCACGGGGGCCCCCACCTCCAAGCAGACGGCAGCAAGAGCCTGACTGTGTGCAGGTGCCTGCGAGGACTGGGCTGCAGGGAGCAGAGAGCGCCTGCCCTTTCTCCAACGAGACAGGGCTGCTCCAGGAGGGAGGGAGGGAAGCCCCCGGCCCCAAGCAGGACTCACACCTCCCCCAAGCCCCTCAGGGGCCACACCAGGGAGCCCAGGAGCAGCACTGCCCCCCCTTCCCGGCCACCCAGAGCTGGCACCCTGCTGCAGCCTGGGGGCGGCCCTCCGCTGGCCATAAAGGCCCTTTCTCTGACGCTGTTTGTGTTGGGCCCCGCTCTCCTCCTCACAGCCCCAGTCACGGCCACGGGCCCAGCAGAGGCGCAGGGCCACTCAAGGGCTTGCTTTGTGGTCTTGAAGATCAGGCGGGAGCTCAGCCCTGGAAGCCAGCTGTTTCCACCCTCCTGCTCATCCAGGGGGTAAACAGGACCCGGAGCGGCCTCTGCCACCTTCCACCCCATTCCTCCAACCCGTCCCAGCCCGGGCCTTGCCCAATCCTGATTCCAGAAAGAAACACACAGCCCCTGTTCTTCCTCGGCCCACGAGGTAAGTCACCGCTCCTCCTTCAGCTGTAGTTGCAGCCAGGTTCCCCACAGCCTGCATCCCAGGCGCCATTGACACCCTGCTGCCCAGAGGCCGTGGCCAGCCCCTGTCTTCCTGGCCCTGTCCCATGGAACTGTGGTGAGGCGGATGCCTGGTCCCTCTCCAACACCACAGCTGAGGCAGCTCTAGTGGTGAAGTTGTCATTTTTTAAAAGGCCGTGTGTTTTAAAACACGTCCTTGTTGTGCGAGGCCAAGTACCTAAAGAACAGGAGTCCCGGCTGGGTGCAGAGCTGCACACCTGTAAACCCCAGAGACTTGGGAGGCTGAGGTAGGAGGATCACAAGTTGGAGGCCAGACTCAGTAACTTAGTGAGACCATATCTCAAAATAAAAACTAAGGAGGACTGAGGACATAGTTCTGTGGTAGAACACTCCTGAGTTCAATTCCCAGTACCACAAAAATAAATAATCACAGAAGACACAACAAGCATGAATGAAGATTGGGACAAGATGTTCATGATTGTGCTACAGAGATTTTTGGGACAGTTTAAAAATAGAGGAACCTCAGAAGGCCAGCAGGGGATTAGTTAAACAAATAACAACGCAGCCACACGACTATTAGGTGCCTTTAACAGCGAACCTACGGCCATGGAGCGTAATTTATTTATAAATTATGTATTTATAGAACCTAAAGCCAGATTTTATGTGTGTGCTTAAGGGTGTTTTTCTACAAAGAGCTAGAAATGACTATGGAACCCTAAAACTGGATCTCTGTCCGACAGAAGGACATGTTACTCCATGACAAGACGTTTATGTTATATAGAAAGTGGAGTCCTGTAAGTCCCACTTTCAGGTGTGTGTCTGGCGTGGAGGCCACACACAACATTCAAAGGCCCTAAGTGAGCTTTCTCCTTCGTTTTTCTACCGGCAAGATCTACACCCTTATCGTGGTAGGTCCCGACTTCAGTCACATGGGTTTCCAGAAACTAAGGCAAAACCAAATACGGGACCAGTTACTAATCCCCAGGGTCCAGAGAGAAAATGTAGTAACTGCTTTTGGAATTTCAGAGCGTGCAGAGTTCTCTGGAGAGGTGGGGCTGTGGGACGTGTCTCTGGGGACCGTCTCCTGCTCCCTAGGGACAGGGTGTGGGGCAGCCTTGACTGAGGCTGAGACTCTGCAGATCCCAGCTGCTCTGGAATCTGAAATGCAGAAAGCTGTTCCCTTCAGCAAGACTAGGAGGTCCTCCCGCCCATGCCCAGGGCAAATCCCAGAGCATTCTGGGTGTCTGCTGCTGAGGAACAGATCACCCCAAAACTTGGTGATCTCAAAAGACCGACCATTTATCAGCCTCAGGGTTCCTGCAGTCAGGAGGTGGGGATGGGCTCGGCTGGGTGGTTCTGGCTCAGGAAGGGAATCGGGAGGAGGCAGTCAGAGGGGGGCTGGTTGGGCCCCTGGCACAGGAAAGCTCTTTGCACCTGAGTCTCCTGCACAGCAGCTCAGGGCTCCAGCCACCAGGCGACACCTTCATTAAGTAGTACTAGAAGCTTGGTTGGCCTCTGCCGCTTTCTAGTGGTTCTGAGCTAGCCACTGGCCTGTCTGATCTGGGGATACAGGACACAGACTTCCTCTGTCAATGGGAGGAGAGTCAAGGTCACTCAATAGCATGTAGTTTGGGAGATGCTGTGACCATCTTGGGAAACCACCATCTTCCGCACAGAACTGTCACCCATACCCAAGGCAGGCCAGGACAAACGCAGGCCAGTAGAAAGCTTGTAACCTTTGACCTTTGTTCATGGGACACTGATACCCTTAGATCATCCTTTATCTACCAAAATTCAGCCATCGCAGGCCTCAGTTAAACCACAGGAGCTACCATGGCACAGGGACACGGGGGCTGGCCAAGAGATAGGCTCCAGCCCTGGCCTTTGTCATCAGACAGCAGAGGTGAGTTTGGGCCAGTAGTAGTAGCAGCAGCAGCAGTGAGGGTCATTTGGGGGTTGCTGGGTGTTTTTGTTGCTGGAGAGAGATTGAACCTAAAGTTTCATGCATGCTAAATGCCACTGAGCTACAGCCACCGCCGGTGGAAGTGTTTGAACACACTACTGAGTTTTACCCATGTATTATCTGATTTTAAAAAATCAGTGGAGTTGGTCACAGAGGCACACGCCTGTAATCGCTGCTTCTCAGGAGGCTGAGGCAGGAAGATCACAGTTTGAAGCCAAGTGTTTTACAGAACTTGTCTGTAAAAAAACAGAAAGAAAAAAAAAAGAAAAGAAATTAAGTAAAAAGGACTGAGGGTGGAGCTCTATGGTAGAGTGCCCCTAGATTCAATCCCCAGTACCACCACCGGAAAAAAAAAAAAAAAAAGGAAAAGGAAAAGGAGAGAAGGAGAAGGAGGAAACAATGAAGAAAGAAAATGAGTAGAAACAGAAATGACCTGGCCGCTGGGAAAAGGCCCACCCCCAACAGTGAAGAGCCACAAAACAAAAGAACAAAACAGTCAGGAGTAAGGTGCACCCTGTAATCCCGCTCCTCCAGGAGCATCTCAAGTTCAAGGCCAGCTCAGGCAATTTAGCAAAGCAAATTAGGGCTTGGGATGGGGCTCAGTGGTAGACTGCTTGCCTGGTATGCACA